AGTGAATTTGCACGTGTAATTATAAAAGATAAGTAAATGATTTAGGAGCATTAAGAATCACTTGAATATTGCTGAACAACCTTTCAAGCTGATTATCTATCAGTAACACTAACTTGCATTGCCTATGCTTATGGAAAGACTGTCCTGAATCATTACTTAATTCATGACATCTTAGCCTTCATTAGCAAAACATTTAAATACCAGCTAGACAAGGGAGAAAAAGAATTAGTTGCAATTTAATTTTGTTTGACATTCCCATTATAACATACAGAGAAGATAAAACTGGGGCGGGGTGGTATTGTGAGTGTTGCCTTTCTCTCTAGGGCCTACATGAAAGCCATTGTTCCCATCCCCTTAGTTAGGATACCATGTTTTCTGATGGACCCTCTGTTTTGCTACCTTTTGAACAAAATGAAATCATTCTTTAACAAGGCAGAACCAAAGACAGTTTGGCTTTGGAAGATGAGTTTATGACCCAACGAAAAATGTAGTATATTTTAAAGCCTTTTGGAAGAAGTCCTTTATGGTCTTTGAGGGAACCACAAACCAGTGGTAGATCAAGATATGCAGGTGGATGGTTAAATGTTGTGGTTAAAGGTTGTGATATTCCCTCTCTGGCTCCTTTCAAAGACTTTACTGTTAACCTTTTTTCCAAACATTCTTCCAGGACCTTCAGGATCAGTACCTACTCTTCACCCTTCATAAACTCAGTCCTGTAGAGAAATGAAATTTATTGCTCCCTACAAAAGTTTGGGGATCCATATTGTCAAGTTTATGAGGGTCTACTGCTTGAAGAAGAAAACAGATTATCTTCTTTTTTTAAATTCTTCTGTGAATCAGTCAGCGTACAAGCATTTGTTTTTTTTTAACATTCATTTTTTAATTTTAAAGTTGTGAGTTCTTTCCCTCCCTCCAGCTTCTCCCTTATCCATTGAGAAGACAAACACTATGATATTCATTATACATATGAAGTCATGCAAAACATATTTTCATTTTGCCATGTTGCAAAAAAAGCAAGAAAATTAAAGAAACCAACAAACATTTGTTAAGCACCAACTATATACCAAAGGCAAAACCAATACCTGCCCTCAAGAAGCTTGTATTCTAATAGGTTGTGCTCACTGAGATGGAGAACATTAAATAACAGTTTATCAGACAACATTACAATACTTTCTCATGTAGTGTTTGAGGCCCAGAATTATGAGGAAGTCAAAAGAATATCCATCCCTGAATGGATTTTCAGGACTTCTTGAAATTTAAAACTTGAGCCTGCTTTCATTTATTTATTTGCTTATTTATTTGTTTTTTTTATTTATATTTCTGTCTATTCATCTGTTTGTTTATTTATTTTTGTGTTTGCTTTACCTCCCAAAGCTTAGGTGAATGTCATCCAGTGCCATGTGGCTTCTAGGTGCAGCCTTACCCACCCCCTTCCAATTTTCCTACATCTAAAAATAGCCCAGACATATGTAGCTGTTGAGAAAACTAGCTTATTTATTTACAGCCAGTGTTAAGAGGAGGGAGATGATGGAATAGGGCCAAATCAGGTGAGATTTACCTTGGGAAGACTATAAATAGCCTGACCACAACCTCAACAGGCAGCAGAAGATAGATGGACTGGTAAAGTGACCAGTTATCTTGGTTTTTCTTGAACAGTATCAGGATTTAATGGCCTTTGGGCAAGTGCCCCAGGAAAAATCCAGGGCATGTGGCCCTGGCAACTAAGAGAAGCTCCCAAATTCAGTTACAGGAAGCATATATATGTATGTATATGTGTGTATATATATATAGTTATAGGAAAAGCTTAATTACTTTATGGATTAACATATCCAGCATAAACAGATGAGGCTACTTTGAGGATTTTTCCTATTTAAGATAAACTGTGAGAAGACAGTTATGGTGCTCCAGTGGTTTGTCATTGGCACGGAACCTTGGAGTCCTGCTTATAACAGAAAAATACTTTTCTAAAACTGGTTTTGCAGTTGAGGAATATTTGAAGTAAGATGGACACCCCCCTCCCCCACAGCGCAGGAGAGCAGGACTCCTCTGTGGGAACACTTGAGGTTAAGAGGGCCTCCCTCCCACCTGCCCTCTTCCCCTGCATAGGGGGCCAGGACTCCTCTGTAGGATGCTCTTTCCTTCGTCTTCTCTTTGGCTAATATATCTGTGATGCTGATTTGGGGGCGGTAGTGAATATACTGGATACTTTAACCCCAACTCCTCTCTTGGGCTATTATGGCTCTTCACAACCTAACTCCTTCTATTTTCTCAGGCTTTTTACATTTTATTCCCCTCTGTAAACTCTATGGTTCAGTCAGACTGGCCTACCTGCTATTCTTTACATATGTTGCTCACCCCTACTCATCTCCTGTCTCCATGTCTTTTTACCGGTTATTTCACATTTCTGGAATACTTTCCTTCCTAACCTCTGCTTTGACAGAGACAGTTTCAAGTTCAACATGTCTGAAACAGGAACTCATCATCTTCTCTCCAAAACCTGACTCTCCTGTTAGGATCCCGGGCTTCATTTAAAGCTCAGCTCAAATGCTACCTTCTCTCTCTCTCTCTCTCTCTCTCTCTCTCTCTGTATGTGTGTGTGTGTGTATGTATACATGAATTATATATATGTATTATATGTATTCTTTAGGATTTATATGCATATCTACATATAATATATGTGTGTATGTATATGCATGTATGTATGTATATACACATGTATGACAGCTAGGTGGCACAATGGATAGAGCATTGGATCTGGAGTCAGAAAGACTCCTCTTCATGAGTTCAAATCCAGCCCCAGACAACTTATTAACTGTGTAACCCTAGGCAAGTCACTTAACTTTGCATTCCTCAGCTTCCTCATTTGTAAAATGAGCTGGAGAAGGAAATGGCAAACCACTCTAGGGTCTTTGCCAAGAAAACCCCAAATGGGGGCAAGAAGAGTTAGACATGACTGAAAAATGACTGAACATATGCATACATACTATATATATATATATTATATATATATACACATATACATATATGTGTTTGTATGTATGTATACACACTAGTTTCTAGTTCCTTCCTGTCGTAGATTGTTGTTTTTGTTCAGTCATTTTTCAGTCATGTCCAACTCTTCGTGACCCCATTTGGAGTTTTCTTGGCAAAAATACTGGAATGGTTTGCATTTCCTTCTCTTAGATTACCCTCCATCTACTACATATTTATCTTGTATGTGCTGATTTATGTATATATTATGTGTATGTACTATAAACTCCTTGAGCACAGAGACTTTGCCTCCCCATAGCTTAGCATGGTGCCTTGCATATACTGGGTGATAACTCCCAGCGTTATATCCCCCATTGGTTGGTCAGAATGATTGTCACTTAATTGAAAGAGATGCTTAGTGGAAATGTGGTCCAAGGGGAGAGAGTGACAGGAGGAGGAAAGGACAAGGTTATTAGAAGATATTAGGAGGTCACCAATGACCTTCCAATTGCCAAATACAATGACTTCTCACTAGGACCATAGGATGCATAGAATTGGAATGGACTTAGAGATTTTCTCATCCAACCCTCTCATTTTGTCAAGGAGGAAACAGGGAGGATCAGAAAATTTATGACTTTTCCCGGGTCCCACAGATAACAAATAGCTCAGCGGCAGGGGCTTCTCAGTCCTCCTTTACTTTTCTGCACCATTGACCACTCCTTCCTTCTCGATACACTCTCCTTCCTTCACTTCCATAACTTCTGTGCTGTCTCTTCACTCTCCTCTTACTTCTCTGAGTATTCCTTCTTAGTCTGTCTTCACTATACTCAATTCAATAGAGTTCACTATAGTCCTTTTATTAAGGTCCTCTATGTGCCAGGGACTGTGCTCTTCTTTTACCAGTCCACTAAGTGTAGGCATCTCTGAAGTCTCTACTTTGGTCCTATTCTCTTTGCTCCCTTCCTTGGCAATTTCATCCATTCTAAAAGCTCCATTATTACCTCTGTGCAGATTGTTCCCAAATCTAGTACCTCTCGCCTTGATCTCACCTGTAAACTCCAGACTCCTATTTCTAACTACCTGCTGCAATTTCCTCCTCCAGCATTTTACATTTAGCATGTCTAAAATAGGAACTCATCATCTTTTCTCCAAATTTCCCAGTTTCTGTTGGTGGTTCTACTCTTTTTTAGTCGCCCAGGTTCAAAACCTCAGAGTCAATCTTGACTCTTCTTTTTCCATCATCCTCCATGTACAGTCATTTGTGAAGTCCTGTTATTCCTGTCTCCAAAATATCTGTCCTATTCATTTCTTCCTTTTCACTGTCACCAACCTATTCCCTTCCTCAGTTCTTTTCATCTTTAAAAAATTGCTTCCTTAGTGGCTTCCTAGTCTCTGACCCCTTTCTCTGTCAAATTTTTTCATACACTGCCGCCAATGTGGTTTTCCTAATGCACCGGTCTAATCATGCCATTTTACTATATGAAGCCTGAATTGATTCCCCATTGCCTACCAAATAAATAGCTTAGCAGTCAAACCCTTTGTTCCCTAAGCTGCTTCTATTCTCCCCTTCCACTCTCCTCCCCCAGCACTTCCTTTTAAGCTCCTTTATTCCAGCCAAACAGGAACCTGCTTTCTTATTTCATGCTGCCCTCCCAACTGCCATGCACAATGCTTTGCACATGGTAGGTACTTTATAAATGTTAGTTCAATTGCTATTGTACTGAATTGAATAGTGGACAGAGCAAATATCTGAAGTCATAAGAATGGTGAGCATGAAGAAATGAAAGAAAGAGAGAAGAAAAGCAGAGAGAGAATGTCAATGTGCCACAAATGAGCATTTCATGCATAGTGATTTATTAATTTTTATTCTTTGGATAAAGTATTTTGTTTCATATAATTCATATTCATCTTTTTCATATACAGGACACATTGTATGTAAATGAAAATTTTCATAGATACAAATATGTAATATATTTGCTATGTTTTTTATGATCTTAAAAGAATGAAAAATTTTTCTTTTTTTTTAATAGGTAGAAAACAGACCAAAATATTATGGAAGAGAGTAAGTACATATTGCTACGTAACATTTTATTGGTGATGTGAATTTAGGGTAAAGAAAGGTAATACAAATGAAAAAGTAGCCTAAAGAGGCTAGTAGTTTTTTTTCCAATCCAATAAATACTTACTAAAGGCCTATAAGGTACCAGGCACTGTGCTAAGCACTGGGGATACAATTAATAAAAATAGTCCTCAATGAACTTACAATCCAAAGGAAGAGACAACACACAAGAGGAAAAGGAAATCCTTAAGGAAGGGATCCTTAAGGTATTGGGGATACCTGGTAAAGGAGCATCTTGCTCTGTGGAGTCGAAACCAGGCAGGGCAGCAGATGCAAAATGGAGTTTAACATTTTAAAAATGTTAAATCTATCTTTACGTTGGACTCTATCTGCTTTCTTGGTTATTATTGCGTAATCTAAAAATATATAACATGTAATTAAATATGTTAACATGCAAAAGTAATGTCAAGTTCTACCAGCAGAACACACTATATCTTATTGCTTTTAGAGACAGCAGTTCTTTCTACTGAGCTTTGAACCAGTAGTCAAGCGGCCAGTTTGAGGAATGAATGTAATTACGTAACTCACAGGTGTAAAGAGTAAGAAGTCACTCATTGATCTCGGCTACTCTGGCCACTACCGTTTGTATCATACTATTCTGCTGTCACACTTAAACTGAGGAAGGCTGGCCCAATTACCTTAGTAAAACTCCAGAGAATGGTTTAGTTTCACCTCTCTGACATTGATAGGCCATGTGAATAAAGAAAAGAGGACAGATAGGAAAGATGCTCCCAAGGGGCAATGAAGAAAACTTTGTAGGGGCAGAAAACATGCTCCCAAGGGGAACAAGGAAGAGTTAAGGATGATTCCAAGGCCAAGGCTGTGAACGCAGGTGACTAGAGGGACAGTGTTGTTGGCCCTCAATGGAAATAGGGAAGTTTGGAGGAAGGGTGAGTTTAAGGGGAAACATAATGAACTGCATTTTGGACATGTTGAGTTTGAGATGTCAATGGGATGGTCATGTGGTGAGGGCTCAAAAGACCATTGTAGATAAAAGATTGGAGTTTAGGAAAGAGGTTAGGGATGGACATTTAGATTTTAGAGTCATCTTCATAGAGATAATAATTCAATCCATGGGAGCCAATCAGGTCACTGAGAGTGTAGAAAGAAAAACAAGTTCATGAGAGACATGGAGGACGCTTATACTTAGTTAACAGGAAATGAATGATGATTGAGTAAATGTCACTGAAAAGGAACAGTTGGACAGGTAAGATCAGAACCAAGAGAGAATAGTATAGTAGAAGTCAAGGGAAGAGATAGAATCCAGCAGGAGGGGAAAGTCTGTAGTGTAATATTTAGCTGCAGTGACCTCAGGAAGGATGAGTATTCAAAAAAGTCTTATTTGATATAACAGTTGAGATTATTAATAACCTTGTAGTTCACCATTTTAGTTGCCTGGTGGGGTTAGAAGCCAGAATGCAAGGGGCTGAGAAATGAGTGGAAAGTGAAGAAGAAGAAAAAAGTGCAGATGACTCTTTCTGGAAGTTTGACTGTAAAAAGAAGAAATTTAGGCTGTCTTTAAAGGATAGTAAGACCAAGCAAAGCATTTGACAATCAATAAGCATTAAGAACTTACTATGTACCTGGGACTGTGCTAAGTGCTGGGAATGCAAAGAAAAACAAAGGAATAGTCCTCCTGCTCAAGGAAATCACATTCTAATGGGGAAGTGTTTTATTCAGTAGGTAATGGGGAATCATAGAACTAAGAATCTTTTCCTTTTTCAATTTTTCCCCTTATAATATTATGTGTATACTTATTGTACATGTATAAAGGGTGTGTTATTTATGCTTCTTTATCTCCTTTTTTTCTGCATTAATCAAAGATGGTTCCAAGAGAGAGAATGAAAGCAAATGTTATAGCATTTGGCTGGGAGATCAACCAAATAATGCAGATTATTGAACAATCATGCCCATTAAGGACAACTGTCAGGGTTCTGGCAAGTGGCCAGCCTAGCCCCTGCTCCAGAGTTTGGATCATGGCCATTAGTGTGAAGGGAGGAAGTTGGGCATATTTTTGTTTCTCTAATAGATGTCAAGAGCTCTATAGAATATAGAGAGAGCAGAATAAAAGTGTCCTATAGAGAGAATGCATATATCTTTCCTTAAATGGATATACACTATGAGTCAGTGATAATTAAATGAAATTGAGGACTACTTTGGTGCTATTCTGACCACACATAATCAATCTGACCAGGCTTCAAGCAGAGAATAAAATGAGCATGGTCAATGCCATAGTTCCCTATTGATAGCAGAGAAGTGATTTTGTGAGGATAACAATCTAGGGGTAGGTGGGCTTTTTTGTGATTGTTTCTGTGTTTTGTTTTAAAATAAAAAAGGTGGGGAAGCATACAATTTCCAAGTCTTTTTATTGCTGCTCATTTTGCCTTTGTTCTCCAGGTTTCATGGCATGATCTCCAGGGAGGCAGCAGACCAGCTCCTGAGTGTGGCTGAGGGGAGTTATCTCATTCGTGAGAGCCAGCGTCAGCTAGGAACCTATACTTTGGCATTAAGGTTGGTCATGGACCTGTAATTATAAGTATTTCATTTGTAACCATATTAATTGAGGGTTTTACATTGTAAAAGCATCCAGCATATAATTGAATAGGCTCTTGTTTTATTTATGCCCTTCTTACCATTTTAATAGCTTCTGGAACCTCAAAAAATTTCTTATGAATAGCACTCAACTTAGTGGTTCAGAATCAGAAATTTCTAAAATAAGTTTTTATTGTAGTTGTTTTCTTCCTGTCTCTCCCATATCTAACACTGTGACTGTTCACCTCTATTTTTTTTTTTAATGAGATGGACATTTAAAAAAATGTCTTTGTGACATGGTGAGACTAATGCCAATACAGGAATACCAGTTGCCTTTTGACTTGGGCAGCATTTTTTGGGAGCTGTTACCTAACAATTACTGTCTAAACTTTGGCAGACTCTCTTAGTCTGAAGAGGTTGGGCACAGAATAATTATTTCCACTGACCCTCATGTCTCCAGTCATAGGAAATAGTTGAAATGATCACTCAGTGTCTTGGATACTTTTTCTGGGAAAGAATTGAGAATAGCAATTTCCCATGAACCAAGGATCAGAAAAGTAACACAGGCCCTACTAGAATCCTTCTAAGATGATTGCTTCCCTCTCCACCTCACCAGATTTCCACTCCACCAGTTAGCTCCAGTGTCTCCTGCTTGTTTGAGTCAATAAACCCCATAAGATATAATACTAACCCAAATGATGCACTGAACTCAAGTGTACATTGTTAATTTAGTGCTGTATACCCTACTCTGTTAGATGTAAATTTAGGGAATAGAGTTTAACTCCTGGAGTTCACATAAATTTGTGTTTCCTGCTTTAACATAATATAAATGGACAGTTTGATTATACTAGTTAATTATGCTTCTAATTTTAATTCAGTTGTGATAGAAGTGCACTATTGGGAATCAACAAATCTCACTGACTCATTGAGATCTTGGGCAAGTCACTTTGAGTATCTTGACTTCAGTCTCCTTTGGGTATAAAATGTTTCCATGTTGTCTCTTCTATTAGAATGTAAGTTCCTTGAAGTCAGTGACTTTCACTTCCTGTCTTTTATGTCCCCACACTTCGCATAGTACCTGGCACAAAAATGCTTGTTGATTAATCTATGAAAGATAGAACCAGATCAAGGCCCCTTCTAGTTTGTATGCTCTCAGAATCAAAATGCCAACATATAATTACATGAAGGGTCTTATTTTAGTGCCTCTGGGCTGTGTGGAGGTGTGACCTTGTCAGCAGACCCCATTTCTAACAGTGCTGACCAAACTGAAAAGGCCTAATGGCTCATTTTATGCATGGTGTAGGTTATTGGAGGACCAACCTCACTTAGGGCAAAGAGGCTTCTTCAGGGGCAAAGAGGCTCATTCACCAGTTGGGCACACAGTAATCAATATTTTGGGCCATAGTAACTCCCCCAAATCCTTCATTAAGTCATACTTCAGATTCTAAATGAATTTTCTAAAAACCCAGTTGTGTAAGTACCTGCTTTGATCAGGGATGAGTGGACAGAGGAAAGAAATTCCACATGTTGCCAAGAATCTCATTGACCTACTCCTCCAAGTGCCTCTTGTCACTTGCCCATCCCCGCAACGGGCCTGAAAGTGAATGGTTCCTTTATTACTTTCCCACTCTGCCTTCTTCAATCCTCTAGTGTTTTCTTTACCTCTGTCTTCCCCTGTGTCCATCCTGTGTCTCATTCTCATAGGGACTTGTTCTTAGCTCTTTCTCTAATCTTCACTAAGAAATTTCCTGATAATGGTTTAAGGTGTGACCCTTAAGTCAAGTTTATTACACTTTAATGAGAAACTGAGAAGCCTTCCAAGCCAAAGAAATGGAAAGATGACAGCACCATGACTAGCGGGGATTTTTGGGTGGGAATTATCCCCTCTCATTATGACAGTAGCACCATGTATTCAATCACTTCAGCTATTTGTAGGGCCAGTTTTGTCCCTAAGATATTACTGACTCCCCAATCAAATTTTCCTTAGGCTCAAGGTATGGTTGGGAAAACAGCAGGGTTGTTGACGCAGACTCCAACTCCCAGCACTTGGTTCCACTTTCTTAGATTGTCCATGGCCATGACCTCATGGCTCTCTCTAGTCACTTTGACCTAGTTATTCATAGTGTAGGTTGGAGAAAGGGTGGAGGAATGCCTAGATAAATGGATCTGTTTTTAATTTATAGGATTGAAGTAACACACAAAATCTTCTTTGTTATGCAAAACCACCATAAAAATCAATTGAAGGAGAAAGACTAGAATGAGGCCAGTGTGGGAACAGGGGAAATGTCTTATAACTAATTCCAATCTGAAATTCCATAAGGCATTTTCCTTGCCTTAAGGTTTTCATAAAAGTGAGATAGTCTGTTGAACAGCATGGAGTAAAAGTCTTATTAATATGTCATCTATTATTCTTATCTGATGCCTTCCAAATTTTTTAATAGATGAGCTTCTTCACAATTATTTTGCTTCTGCTTTGTTTTGCTTTTATTTAATATGTATTCCATTTTTGGTAAGCAATCTGTCTAGTTTGCAGCAACTGAGGATATTGAATGTCATACTTACAATGCATAACTAAGAGCTGAAAATAGGTAGCAAGACATATATATGAAGATATACTGTTCTTTAAGGAAACTATAAATATTTATCTACCAGGGCAGCAGGAAGTCTGTAGATAATCCTTTATTTCTGAGGTATAATAAGTTTACTACACTTAGAGTCAAGAGACCTGAGTTCAAATCCTGACCCTGCCAGTTATTAGCTGCATGACTATGAGCTATGCCATTTTTACCTTTTCTGGGCCTCAGTTTTTTCATCTGTAAAATGAGGAGGTTATATTAGCTTGCCTGAGGTGACCCAGTGGCTAAAGTGCTTAATGTAGAGTTAAGAAAACCTGAATTCAAACTCTGTCTCAGACACTTACTAGCTGTGTGACTTTGGGAAAGTCACTTAAAAAGCTCTGAATGCCCCAGTTTCCTCATCTATAGAAGGGGGATCATAATGGCACCTACCTCCCAGGGTTGTTGCAAAGATAAAATGAGATATGTGCAAAGTGCTTTGCAAAAGTTAAAGTGCTGTACTAGCTATCATCATTACATAAATGTTGACTATTACCTCTTAGGTCCCATCCAGGTGTCATTATAAGTAAAACTAAGTTTCCTCACTTTTGATGAAGAGAAACTTGAAATTAGTTTCTTGTCTTCTTCATTTTTATGAGTTCATAAGGACAGGTTGATTGAGTAAGGCAATGGCATGGTGGTTATAAAATCTTCATGGTCCTATTTATTCTTTGTTGTGGGCCAGTTCCAGTTGGTGTCTTATACTTAGTAGTTGCTTAATAAATGTAATGAAGTCAATAAGTGTGCTTGATAAATGTTTGTTAAATTGAATTGGGCTGTCCTACCGAAAGAGAGACAGACAGACAGACAGACAGACAGACAGACTTAAGAAATATAGTTCTTGATCATGGTATGAAGGCAAAGAGCGTTTCCTTGTTACAAAACTCAGTAACTCTAAATGCTTAAAGTACCTTCTCATTGGAGCATGGAGATAATGCTGGGTTCATAAATGCTATAACAGTGGAGTGTAAGATGTAGCAAGTCCTACAAAGCTGGAAAGATTTGGGGTATAGGCCTGGCAGTGGACTATGCATCTGTCATCCAAGAATCAGTCAAAGTAAGTGTGGAGAGACGTCCATCACAAGAAGGTTGGCTGCCAGGGGATGACTTTTTTTAGCCAGCGCAATTCACAAAGTTCACCTGAGAAGAGGAGTAGCTGTAATGTATGTGATCAAGGGAATCTGAAATATTAGTCAGGTGCCTCTCATCTAACTTTTAATATGCCAGCTACTTTTTAAAAACTAAAACTAAGGGGGCATCTAGGTGGTGCAGCGGATAGAACGTTGGCCCTGGAGTCAGGAGGACCTGAGTTCAAATGTGACCTTAGATATTTAGTAGCTATGTGACCTTGGGCAAGTCACTTAACCCCAATTGGCTCCAAAACAACAGAAACTAAACTAAACTATGTGACAAATTAAACAGCATTTTGTATGACTTAAATCGGAAAATAAACTTAGCATTTTTGAGTAATGAGGCAGTGAGTGTTACCTCTTACACTAGGTGAATTAGGCTAGAGAGGAACTCTGGCAAGCTCCTTATCCCATTAGAAAGTCTTTTATCTAGAAGGATTTTTTGTTTATGAAGCAAATGCTGGATTCCTAGATGACTATGCCCCAGGCAAATAGGTAGAACAGTGGATAGAATACAAGACTTTAGAGTCAAGAAGACTTGAGGTCTAATCCTGCCTTAGATACCTATTTGCTGAGTGATTCTAGGCAAGTCACAACCTATATCAGCCTCAGTTTCCTCATCTGTAAGAAAAAGGGGGAGGTGGAGTAGGAATAATAGCAATCCCTCACAGGATTATTGTAAGAACCAAACAAATTAACACATATAAAGTGCTTTGTAAATCATAGGGTTCTATATAAATGCTAGCTATTATTACTATTATTCTGCTGGATCTGAATCCATGAGCCTGTCTGCCTTTGTAGCCACAATTCATTCAATTCAATTCGTTGTTAATTTTAGTGTTCATCTGAAAAATTAATGTTTTTTGGAATACAAAGATCTCTACTCATGAGAACTCATAGACTTGTAAGCAACATATTTAACCTTTTTGGGGCTGAACCTCCACTCCACTGCAGTGAAAACAAGCAATGGTTGAGTCTTAACTGTATGTGAAGGCCTTGATATATTCCTACCCACCATCAGGGTAGAATTCATTCATGATAATGTTCCACTAAAGTCCTATTACACTTCCCCCCGTGGCCGTGACATGATCCTTTTGAAGGCGCCGGGTCCCCAGCTTTAGTAAGTCCCTTCAAACCAGAAAGGGTTTGAGTACTATTTCTCATGATGGAATGCTTGTCTATCATCTAGGTACCAGCCTTAGTTAAGTTAGGAGAGATTCATTGTCAGATTGGC